TTTGGTTTTGGTTTTGGTTTTCCAGATAGGGTTTCTCTGTGTAGCCTGGGCTGTAATGAAACTCGCTCTGTAAACCAGGCTGACCTTGAACTCACAGAGACCCACTCAACCTCCTGAATGCTGGGAATGATGGGAATAAAGGCGTGGACCACCAGGCCCAGCTCGGAAGACAGCTTTTTTAATCTGGGAATTTCACAACAGTGGGGAAGAAAGATTTAACTTTTATTCTGAGACAAGATCTCATACAGTCCAAGTGGCCCTTGAGCTGCCTAAGGCCTAGGATGAGCTAAGTCTGCTCCTCCAGCTTCGACTTCTACAGGGGCTGAGCTTCCATTACAGTCCCATGTGCTTTCACCATCCCATTTTAGCTGATAATGGGAATTGAACCCAGGGCTTCTGGTATGCTAGGCTGGAGCTTTGCCCCCCCCCCCCAACCACACCAGCAACATAAGAAAGATTTGAATAAACCTTTGTGGCTCCCTCTGAGGAACTTGAACTTCCCTGTCCACCCCAGGAGTGACAGGACCCAGGATGAGATGTTTAAAAGCTGACGGCTTCTCCCATCAGCCACAGGTAAACAACGTCTTCTAAACAGGAAGTGGCTCGCAGCCAAGTGATGCCTGGTTTTTCGGGGGTGGTAGAAGCTGCCCTGTGCATTCTCTTTTCCAGAGCACAGACCGTAAAGTGGGGACTCAAGTCCAGCCCTTGCCCTTGCTCCCAGCTTTCCTTTCTCTGCTTAGCCTGTGGTGCCATCTCATCCCCATGGCAACGGTCCCTAGGACTGCACCAAACCCCAAACAGTCGGTGCATTTTCTTTGCGATCTGCTTCGCCTCCTAGCAACTTGGATTATTTCGCCCGTTCTCCTGCTGGCCCTGGCTGAGAGGAGGCACTGCCTCTGCAGTTGCTTTTGTGACCTTGAACAAGAATCCCCCCCCCACCTTTGTAGGCCTCCAGCTCAGAAATTTTCACGCTAACTCACTTTTCTTCCAAATATACACTTGAATAGGGACTTAACACACCCAAAGGCCCCTGGCTCAGTTTACAGGTTGCTGTTTGTTTGTTTGTTTGTTTTACGTTTACCTGTTCTAGGAGGACAGCGTGTACACACACACACACAGTGGCATACGTGCGGAACTTTCAAGAATCAGTTCTCCTACCACGTCAATCAAGGCTCTGCCACAAGGGCCCATACCGAAACGGATAACAAGGAGATGCAGGGACAGACCTGTTCGCGCTAGCCATCACCCCAGCCTCAGAGTTCATTGTTGATAGCTCAATCACAGCCCGATTGATATTTTATGGATCTTTAGGGTTGAGAACTTAGTGGCCACCTGTCATTTTGACAGGGTACAGAGAGCTCAACAAGACCTGCCAAAGACCTGGCTGCGGCAGAAAGAAGATGGAGCTCACCTAGCCTTTTGGTTGAATCGTTGACAGCCTTCGGCAGGCCTCACAACAGAATTTTCCTCCCTTATTAGGAAGTGAACCGAACAGCCATGTACCATGCACATGTGCCCAGTGGCAAAGCCAGCGTGAGCTAGCCAAGCCCTGCTAGGATCTGTTGGAGCTGGGCACGTCCAAGGATCCCTACCCTTCAACTCTCATGGGCACAAACAACCACCTGTGTGGGTGGCAAAGGGCAGGAGGAAGTGGCTGGCAACCACAGCTCAAGATGACTTAACCTCCCTGAGCCAGTTTCCCCATCTGTAAACTGATTATGATAATACCAACTCAGAGCTATGAGACTGTTTAGGAAAAAAATGTGGCACACAATAGGTACTCGATTGGGGGGTAATCTTTTCTCATTGCTATGACCAAATACCTGACAGGAAGCAACTTATGGTCAGAGAGTTACTCAGAGAGTACCTAAAAGCATTCGCTATACAAGCCTGCAGACCTGAGTTCAATCCCCACAGTGGCGAGAGAGAGTTGGTTCCGGAAAGTTGACCCGTAACTTCCAAGCTCACACCTGTGCGTATATGTGTGCAGACACACACGTCTTTTATTAGATAATATTAGTACATGAGTATGCGTTATTAGATGATAATACAGCCTTTTGTTAGAACTGGGTTGGCAAGAAAGCTCAGCAAGTAAAGGCCCTTGTTGCCAAAGACTGGCAACTTAAATTCAATCCCTGGAATCCACATGGTAGAAGGAGAGAATCGCTCTTGGCCTCCACAGGCATCTGCACACATGTGGTACAGGCATACACACACAAAGTCACAAATAAAAATAAACCTTGGGAGGAAAAAAAGATCATGTCTCAAAGAAATAAAAAAGGTTTCCAAGAAAGAGGATGCAGTGGCTGAGAAAGCAACCTCCTTAATAGACTACATGGGCTGCCCTCAAGGCCTTGGAGATAATTGTCTAATGGTCTTCATGCATCTGGTGTCAATGTTGTCCCCAACCCGGGCTCCAGGCAGGTCTGTGGGTGCCTTTGGGAAGCCCCTAGCAGTGGCCAGGGTTCACATTGGTCATGTCATCTTATCTGTCCACATTAATCTGTAGAATAAAAAAAAGTCATTGAGCCTCTGTGTAGGGACAAGTTCTGGCTTCCAGAAGATTCCTATCTCTAAGTAGTGGGAGTTCACTCAGTGGCAGCTGAGACATGGCTCATCCCTGGTGGCTGTCCCCTGGACAAGTGCAGGGCCCTGCACACAGAGGGTTCCACTGTGCTGCCCTATACTCCCACCAAGTCATGACTGATAAATCCTACCCAACCTGAACTGGAGATAGACAGGAGGAGGAGACTCTGAGCCCCACTAAGCTACTAAGAGGAGGGTAACCAGCTCCATCAGCCCACCCACTTCATCCCCAGCCAGACCTGATGCCTGCAACCTTTAGTGAATAACCACAACATGGGGCTCACCCCCAAACTCACCATCTGCAGAGCCCAACGCAGGCCAGTCCATAGGTTCTGATCCAGTCTCTCTCTCTCCCTCCCTTTTTCTCTCTCTCTCCTCTCTCCTCTTTCCTCTCTTCTTTCTCTCGTCTCTCTCTCTCTCTTTCTTTAGACAGGGCCTCATTATGTAGCTCTGGCTATTCTGGAACTCACTGTGTAGACCAGGGTTGTTCCAAACTCACAGAGATCCGCCTGCTTCTGCCTCCCAAGTGCTGGGATTAAACGTGGGAGCCACCATACTTGGCTATTCCAAACGCTGCATGGCTAGGAATACTGCTCAGTGTGGTCCAACCAGAAATGGGCCAAGACTTGTGGCCAAAGAATACCTATCACAGCCTCCTGAAGACTCCTGCCCGCCACCCCACCCCCCACAGCCACCTAAGCTGGCCTTCCCTGAAGACCAGGACTGCTGAACTCTCCGTTCAGAGTCCAAGAAGAGGCTTGAGGCCTGGACAGAAGTAGCCAAGCCTCTGAGAGAGCATTGGAGAAAGGCTGTTTTTCCGCGTACAGATCTGCCTGCCCCTTCCACTCTCCTAACACAGCATGGCCCCCTCTAGAGGACAGTTGTAGACATACAGAACACAAGCTCCATTTTAACTCATCTCTAGCTTCTGTGTGACTTCTCAGAGCCTTAATAGTGGCTTTTGAAAATGGTTATGCCTGAAATGAGAGAAAACAATATGTCAGACCTCTTGCCCAGGGCCTAAAACATTACCGACATTCTACAAGTCATAACCAGGAACACGGAGTTGTTCTAGACTCAGCCCGGCCCAACCCCGTGATGAAACGAGACAGCCGGACAGGCCTTTGCCTCTTGCACTGGAACAGCTGCACAAGGCAGGGATGGGACCCTCGGCTGTGGTGTCGGCCTTCTACCTAATGACAGCAACCATGACCAACAGCCTGACTCCACAACTCAACCTGCCCACGATGTCAGGCATCCCCCCACCCCCGTCCTTCCTCCTGCAGGCTTGTGGACCCAGATGTGGGGAGCCAGCCCCTCAATCCCATGCCCGGCTGTCTGTGCAATGGCTTCTCTCCTCATTCTTGTAACACAGACAATGGATAAAACAGGGGCCTTTCCCAACCAGGTATGAAAACACACTCCTAATAGCAAGGAGACAGAGGCAAAAGGATGGATCCAAGTGTGAGGCTAGCTTCAACATATAGAGACCCTGTCTCGAAACAATAACAATAATAATAGAACAACAAAAATACAGAGTTGGAGCAGAAGCTCTGTTGCCTAGGCTGACCCAGCATGCATGAAGGTTCAACCCCGACACCATGTGGGAGCACACACAGCTCCAGGGAGCAGAGGCAGGAGACTCAGGAGCTCCGGGTCCTTTTGAGGAAATGGCTTAGGAGAGAAAGCCCTTGTCACTCATGGAAAGGCTGTGAATGCCAGGCAGGCATGGCGGCCCCATCTGTGGTCCCTGGAGTAGGCTGGCTGACTAGACACGCAAAACCAAGCAAGCTCTGGGTTCAAGTGAGAGACTTTGCTTCAGTATATAATATCATATGTGTGTGTGCTCGTGTGCATGTGTGTGTGTGTGTGAAATCAAGGAAGATACTGACATCAACTTCTAGCCGCCATACACACAAGCATGAGCAAAACACCCACATCATACACTCACACATACACACACACACACACACACACACACACATATATATACAAAAAAATGTTCACAGTCATTCTTGCTTATATAGTTTGAAGCCAACCCAGGCAATATGAGACCACCTTAAAAAAAAAAAAAAAAGCTGGCCAGGTGGTGGTGGCACATGCCTTTAGTTCCAGACCTCAGGGTGGTGGGGAGGCAGAGGCAGGCAGATCTCTGTGAGTTTGAAGCCAGCCTGGTCTACAGGGAGAGTTTCAGGACAGCCAGGACTATAAAGAGAACCCTGACTTGAAAGCAAAAACAAAAAGCCAGGGTGGAGGAGTGTCTTCTTCCAAAGGTCCAGAGTTAGTCAGTAACTTTGCCACTCCGATGGGGCAAAGTAGTGAGCCTCTGGGTTTGTCTGTGACCCTAAGAAGACTGCCCACCTCCACCCCAGCACTTGCTCCCTGTCTCTGTCTCTCTTCACCTGAGACTCCGATGCCAGCATTCTCTGTCTTCCAGCTCCCCAGGAGCTCCCTCAATACCTTGGGGTGGGGGCATGGTGACTGACCTAGTCACACCCCACAGAACACCTCCTTCTCTGTCGGTACTCACAGCCACCGCCTGTGCCTTTAAGGACTGCTGCTCGGTGCCAGGGTCTTGACCTCAGCATCCTCAGCTGAGTTGGATTAAGGACCATTCCGTGCCTTCTGTGAATTCCTTCTCGCTTCACTTCCCTCCCCCACATGGAGACAGAGTAGCCTGGAGCCCCAACCATTCTGCCGAAGGCAGTCAGAGAACTGGTCTCTCCTCATAGCTTTGTTCCTTCGAGAGTAAAGGTTGCGTCTTTGATAGGTGGCTTGTGACCTCGGAGTGGACTCTTAGGGGTCTTGGGCTGTCACAGGATCTCCAAAAAGCCATGCAGCATCTTGAGCCATGAAGGACTATTCCGATGTCATCCTCTATCCAGAGGCAACTGAGCTGAGTAAGGTAAGGCCCACATGGAATCCACCTCCCAAGATCCCGGTCCCCAGTGAACCTGCCTGTCTCTGCCCATAAGCCTCTATCTTCCATTCCAGACAGAGTTCTGCAATCCTGCTTTCGACCCTGAAGCAGGACCTTCTTGCCCTCCACCAGCCTTACAGAAAGATGCCAGCAGCAGCCTCAAAGCTCCCTGGCGTGGTAACCATCTCAGGACTTGCCCAGGCAGAGGAGAGAGTCCAGGAACTAAGGTGCGAGGGCCATCCCAGGCAGGGGAGCCTCTAAAAAGCCCACTGTGTCCTCCCCGCAGCCCAGCATCTCCGAGGGCTACAACCAGACTGCCATTTCTCCTGCCTCTGTATCCTGCTGCTCAGTGGCCTGCTGCTCCTGCTGTTGGGGCTACTGGTGACTGTCATCCTGACCCGTAAGTGCTTGGGAGGACTTTACATGGAGAGTCCATGAACCTGTTCCTCTAAATGACACTCCTCCATCCTCCTGCCCACAGAGCTGCAGGCTACATCCCTCCCTAGGACAACCGAGAGCCCACTGCCCACCCAAGGCCTCGCCCCCAAGGGTAGCATTCCTAGTACCAGTCCTAACACCAGCACCACCACCATCTCTCCAACAACCGCGGGGCAGCAGGAGGCAGCCGTGAGCCCTACACACCAGACCAGTGAGTTCTAAGGGCACTCCGTGGAGAATGCCCAAGGTGGTAGTGGGGAAGAAAAGCCTGGAAGAGGAACCTTGGGAGTGAGGGGAAGGCCTCCCTTCTATTGACCTCTGAACTCTAACCTCCACCCCCTGCAGCCTGCGGAGGCCTCCTTCCTGGTCCAAGGGGTTTCTTCAGCAGCCCCAACTACCCAGATCTTTACCCAGCCCACAGTCACTGTGTCTGGCATATCCAGGTAGCCACAGGCCAGACAATACAGCTCAAGATTCAAGCCCTCAGCATAGAAGGTGTGCTCGCCTGTCTTTTTGATCGCTTGGAAATTACCCCAGAGCCTTCAGGCCCTCTCCTCAGGTGGGTACCTCTACATCCAGGGGATCCCACTTGTTTAAAAGTAGAGAAACTGGGAGTGGAAGCAAAAACTCTTGACAAGAAGGAAATTAACAGAACTAACCTCTGACTCCTCCCCTGCCAGCACGTTGTTGCTGTGTGGCCTAGGGAAGGTCACCTCCCTCTCTGATCCATTTCTTTCTTTTGTTGGGGTGGGGACAGTTTCCAGACAAGGATTCCTTGTGCAGTAGTTCTGACTGTCCTGGAACTCACTTTGTAGTCCAGGCTGCCCTTGAACTCACTGAGATTCGCCTGCCTCTGTCTCCCAAATGCTGGGATTAAAGGCGTGCACCACCACCTCTGGGCTCTGGTCCCTTTCACCCCCAACCTGGCTCTTTGACAGGGTGTGTGGTAAAACGCCTCCAGCCACACTAAACACCAATACCAGCCACCTCCGTGTGTCCTTCGTCTCTGATGCTGACGTGGAAGGGTCTGGTTTCCAGGCCTGGTACCAAGCTGTGGCCCCGGGGCATTGTGAGTGACTTCCCATCATGTCCCCAGCTGCCACCCCTTCAGCTACTCCCGATACAGCAAAGGGGATGGCAACTCTGGGGGATTCTGACGCCAGATGGTTCGTGCCCTTCTCCAGGGAGCTGTGCCCACAATGAGTTCCGCTGTGACCTGCTCCTCTGCCTGACGCACGACTTAGTATGTGATGGTATTACCAACTGTGCCGATGGTACTGACGAGGCCAACTGCAGTGCCAAGACCTTGGGTACGGGCCCAGCTAGGGACAGGGCAGGCACATTTTCAGGCTTCTGTCCCAGGCTGGGCTCCCCTGTTCTGACCCAGAATTTTCTTGCCTGGCTACTCATGGCCATTTGACGTCTCTCCAGGGTGCGGAGGAAATCTGACTGGGCTCCATGGGGTGTTCTCTACTCCCAACTACCCACAGCACTACCCTCAACAACAGGTAAACGCAGTGCCCTCAGGAACTGGTATAGTACTCATGAGACACCAGGGTGCCTAGGTTTGTGAGCCTGGGAACAGTGTACCTGAGTAAGATAAGTTCCTGCCAGCCAGAAGGAAACATTGTTAGGTACCAACGGTATACCCAGATATTTCTATGCTGGGTAAACACCTTTATCTCTGACAATTGAAAGGGCATTTATATATTTACAGACAAGGTCTCCCTCTATAGCCCATGCTGATCTTGTAACTGGTGAGAATCCTCCTGCCCCAGTTTACCAAGTGCTTGGATTATAGGTATGAGCCTCCTGGCTTTGTTTTGTTTTGAGACAGGGTCTCACTATGTAACCCACAGAGATCCACTTGCCGCTGCCTGGGAAGAAAGGCGTGCATCTCCACACCTTCATCCCCAACCCCACACCTGCTAGATTGTTTTGTGTTTGGTTTTGGTTTTGTTTTTGTTTTTCCATGCTGAGGAACAACCCCAGGATCTTGTACATGACAGACAAGTCCTTTACCACTGAGCTATTATATCCCTGGTTCATGGCTTTTTGAGACAGTCTCTGTATATAGCTCAGGAGGCTTCTTTCAAACTTGATATAAGTTTGGCCTGACTTTGAACCCTGCTCCCAAGTACTGGAATTATAGGTGTAAGTCACCCTATCTGACTGACCATTCCTATTTAAGAGGCACCGATGATGTAGGTAGACAACACCCTGCCTAGTCTGCTGTGGGCATAGAGTGCCCCCTGCAAGACAGGGCTGAGAGCGGAGAAGGTCCTAGTGAATTATTTCACACACGCCTTCCTCCAGCTCTGCACCTGGTACATCTCAGTGCCCGTGGGATACGGCATAGGACTGCGGTTCCACAACTTCAGCCTGGAAGAGCAAGCGGAGTGCAAGTTTGACTACGTGGAGGTGTATGAGGCCAGCAGTTCCGGGGCCTTCAGCTTCCTGGGCAGGTACCAGTCAAGGCACCCCATTCCCCATCTGGCAGCCTGGGCTCCCAACACTAGGCTTCACTGTCTTTGGCTGCTCTATAAACTCAGAGCTCTTTACCGGCCCCGCGAAATAGCGTGTGCTTTCCTGACCGGGCCTTCGTTTCAGCAGCTGCTCAGCCCTATTCTTTGCACCTGTAGGGCCTTTGCCTTCTGCCGTCTTCCCTGACTCTCCCCAAGTCTAAGAAGCCATTTCCTACTTTCTGTGACAGACAGCATGTGTCTCCTTCCCTAGACCCTAAACTCCATGAATCAGCAATCTTGTTCACTATCTGGTATGGCCAAGAGTCCCCAGGACTGGCAAGAGGCCTGTGCCAGGCTATTTTTCTGATCTGGGCAGGTTCTGTGGCACAGAGCTGCCACCCCACCTCGTCTCCTCACGGCACCAGCTGGCTGTAATCTTTAAGACCGATCTTGGTATCAGCAGCGGGGGCTTCTTAGCCACTTACCAGGCCATCAATACTACAGAGAGTAGGTGCCCCTGGGCAGGGGGGTGTGGGCAACAGAGGCTCCTCCATGGAACATCAAAGGGTACCCTGGAGGACCGTGGGTACGGGCATGTCCTAGGGCACTGTCATGCCTCTGTGCCCGCAGATCCTTGTGGGCCCAGAGAGTTCTGCCAGGACGGAGGGTGTGGGGAACTGCAATGGATGTGCGACTTGTGGAGAGATTGTGAAAACGACAGCAATGACAATTGCAGCAGCCACTTGTTCCCACAACCAGGTAGGGAGCCTTTACCCTGAGCAAGTCCTGCTGGCCACAACAGGCTGGGTTCCTGCCACACTTTCCTCACCTCCCTTTCCTTCCCTCTTGGGAAGTTTGTGCCTGGGCCCCTCTCTCCTCATCCTGGGACTCTCGGCCAGTGACGGCATTGTACACTAATGTCACTTGAGAGGGACACGGGAATTTGGGAGTCAGTGGTAGGGGTATCGAGACTTATCTACCTTGTCAACTCAGAGTCCCTCTCCACAGCCTGCTTCACAGATCACAAGATAGAAGTGCTTCCAAGTAGTCCCCAGCGTGCGCTCCACATTTCCTAAGATCAGATGGGCCTACATGATGCACAGGCTGGCCAGTGCATGCTCTGGCAAACAGAAGGGCCCGCTGAAGCGTGTGAAACGGTTCTGTGGTGCCTCTTGAGACGCTCAACAGAAGTCCCCGTGACCCACGTGGAAACAAGGCCCCAGGGCCAGGCAGTGTCTTGTTCCCCACAGTGATCCACCCTCTCCCTTACAGAGCTGACCTGTGAACCTGTCCAAGTGGAGATGTGTCTTGGACTAAGCTACAGTACCACAGCTTTCCCCAACATCTGGGTGGGCCTGGCCACCCAGGCAGAGGTGGCAGACATCCTCAGAGGCTACAAGGTGCTGGGACACAGAGGCGGCGGGAGGAGGCAGGGAGAGGTGGGCGCATGGGAACTGGACATCTGAGGTCTGCCTCTCCCTCCCACAGAGTCTGACAACTCTACCCTGCTATCAGAACTTCCGGAGGTTCCTTTGCAGACTGCTTGTACCTCACTGCACCCCACTAGGCACTATCTTACCCCCTTGCCGCTCTGTCTGCCAGGAGGCAGAACAACAATGCCAGTCTAGCCTGGCACTACTGGGCACCCCCTGGCCCTTCAACTGCAACCGGCTGCCTGAGGCGGCTAGTCTGGAAGCTTGTTCCCAGCCCTGACCTGAAGCCAGCCCCTACCCTCTGTCTGCCCATCCTCCTCTACTTATGTGGGTGGACAGGGCAGGCAGAAAACAAAGGGAAGAGTGACCTGGGCATGGGCCTCCACCCATCCTCTCTTGGTGCTTCCCAGAGAGCGGGACCTGATCCTGCCCAGGGCTAATGGGGCCACCCGATCTTCCCTGTACCATCCCTGTGCTCTTCTTTGCCAAGACAGCCTTATAGCCTAGAGAGCCTAGAGATTTCTTATCCAAGTCTCTGACCCTGATACCTTATCTTCTGCCTTACCCCTTCCCGTTTGAGTGTTTAAAATCACCATCACCAGACTTCAGCTTTTCCATTTAGTCAACAAAAACTATATTGAGAGTCTACTGGTGTGGTGGGACCCTAATCTACGCCTGGGGTCTCCTGATCCAGGTCTCCACCTGCCTCCACCCCCCCCCCCCCCCCACACACACGAGTCTTGACCTTGGTCCCTGTCACTGCCCCATCCACCCCTCCCTCCCGCCCAGCTCCTGGGAACTGGAGTCACAAGTGTCTGTCTGACAGTCCAGCCTCTGTGGAAAGCAGGCTCAAGTCTTTCTCCTCCTCCTCCTCCTTTCTCCACACCCCCCACACCCCCACAACTTTGGCCGGCCGCCGGGCGACACCACGAGTTATTTCCCTGCTATTTCCCAGCCTCGGAGCTCTTGGCCCCTGAACAACTGGTTTCCTCTAGGAGTTTGGGAGGAGCGCTGTGGAGCCGGCAAGGAGCAACAGAAGCTGGGATCAGTCAGCAAGGGCAGGGGCTGCCTGGTTGGGGTAGGAGTGGGAGCAGGGCCAGGTGGAGGGTCTGAGAAAGCCATTCAGAGAGAGCAGCAGGGGGAGCTGGGGAGAGGGGAGGGGTGAGACTGGCAGAGGAGAAGTATGGGTGGGGGAGGGGACTGTGGGAACGCCTGGGCGCCAGCTAGGGGACCGGGTAGGGAGGGCTTGTCTTTCCTTTCCTTTCCTGTGCTCTCCCAATTCTTGGTCTGGGGCACCCTCTTCTTCATCCTGTCACATTACACTCAGCCACAAAGGCATGTTTGTGGAGCGGGGACCTGCTGGGTTCCACCTGGGTGGGGCGCGAGGTGGGTCCCGACATTCTGGGTTCCGACTCTGGTCCTGCCCAGCCCACAGACTACAAGAGGATCCTGGCGTCTGGGCCTCCGAGGTCACCACCATGAGGCCACTTCTTGCCCTGCTGCTTCTGGGGTTGGTGTCAGGCTCTCCTCCACTGGATGACAACAAGATCCCCAGCCTGTGTCCCGGGCAGCCCGGCCTTCCAGGCACACCAGGCCACCATGGCAGCCAAGGCCTGCCTGGCCGCGACGGTCGTGATGGCCGCGACGGTGCACCCGGAGCTCCGGGCGAGAAAGGCGAGGGCGGGAGGCCGGGTAAGAAGTCATCTTCATCACAGTCCCCGTGGGGATATCCTAGTGAGCGCCGCAGCTGCTCTCATGAATCCTTTGGGGTTCAAGGGTCCCGCCAGGGGGCGCTACTCCCCCTCCATTCCAGTCGGCTGGGGTGGGGAGAGGTGGGCTGTGGGTGGAGGGGTGAGTCAGCCCCAGGGAGTCGGAAAGCCTAGATCCCTCTACTCAGCACTTCAGATCTGTTCCCCTCAGGAGGCAACAACCAGGGAGGCTGGGCGACTTAGGAACAGTCAACGGAGTTACCCTTCTGCGCTCCACTGTGACTCCTAATTTCTCCCCTTCGACCCACCCCCACCCCCAGGACTGCCTGGGCCGCGAGGGGAGCCCGGGCCTCGTGGAGAGGCAGGTCCTGTGGGGGCTATCGGACCTGCTGGGGAGTGCTCGGTGCCCCCGCGATCAGCCTTCAGTGCCAAGCGCTCCGAGAGCAGAGTGCCTCCGCCAGCCGACGCACCCCTACCCTTCGACCGCGTGCTGCTAAATGAGCAGGGACATTACGATGCCACTACGGGCAAGTTCACCTGCCAAGTGCCTGGCGTCTACTACTTCGCCGTCCACGCTACCGTCTACCGGGCCAGCTTGCAATTTGATCTTGTCAAAAATGGCGAGTCCATCGCCTCTTTCTTCCAGTTTTTCGGGGGGTGGCCCAAGCCAGCCTCGCTCTCAGGGGGTGCTATGGTAAGGCTGGAACCCGAGGACCAGGTGTGGGTGCAGGTGGGCGTGGGTGATTACATTGGCATCTATGCCAGCATCAAGACAGACAGCACCTTCTCTGGATTTCTCGTCTATTCTGACTGGCACAGCTCCCCAGTCTTCGCCTAATAAACAGTGAACCTGGAGCTGGCACTTGCTCCTAGAAGAGGGTGTGTGATATTGACAGGCGCATACCAGGAGGGCTGGCCCCCTGGAATATTGTGAATGACTAGGGAAGAGAGGGAGCCACCTCCTGTCCCACTGCTGGCAAGGAATGGAGACAGGCTGGCTGAGGTCAAGGCAGGCAGCGTGGAACAGCCGCTGGGTTTCTGCCCAGGAGTGTGCTGTGCTGGCAACTGTCGGTTCCTGGTTGTCCTGGTCCAGGATTCCAAGGTGGGATGCTCCTTCCTAGTCCTGTGTCCCCTCTAGGTCCCTGACTCCATCTCTCCTGCTCCTAGGGCCAGCCTTTTTCTCAGAGCTCACTCAATAAACCTCAAAAAGCTAACACTGGTTTCTGCCTTTTTTCTGAGGATCCACAGCAAGGAGGGTTCCTGGGTGGGATGGAGCCATGAGGCAGAGAGAACAGTAGGCAGACCTAGGTTAGTCGGTTCACGGAGCTGCAACCTAGCTACGTAGATTGCAAAAGGGGTTGCCTGACTAGCAGATTGCCCTCCTGATTTGGGGCTCTGGCCACCCAGAAAAAGGACATTTTTCTAATTCAGACACCCCAAACCAAGTGGGAGCAGCCACTGTCTGGTCTAAAAAAGAATCAGGAGCTTTCAGTCACGGCTGCCCTCACTGTGAGCCAGATAACGGTAAAGAAAACTTGCTTTCTTAGTTAACTGTAGAGCCGTTGCTGTCACCCCCACCCAAAGATAAGTAGTTTCTGGAATGACCACAAGGGGGCGACCACGCTCCAGACTAGAACAATGATTTAAGGTCTGCGCTTCTAAGGTGGTTGGGGAAAGGTTATTAAGATCTGCAGAAAGAATTTCAGATCCGGATGGAAGGAAAGGAGGTCCCTGGCCCCCAGCTCAGGAAGTTTATCTTCCCTAATAAAATGTTTATCCTCCACATTAAACAGAGACTGGAAGGAGTCAGGCTTCTCCTTGCTCAGCAGGGGGTAGGGTAGGGAGGGGATGAAGGGTGTGTTGCAAGCCCGGCCACAGGCCTCCAATTCAGGGGCAGTGGAGAACTGTCTCCACTGTGCTGGGCACAGCCTGGGTGGGCCAAGCCATTAAATCTGAGGCTGGCCACAGAACCCCTGAGGGCTCACCTCCTATGACATTCAGTTTAGCTGGCTCAGGCTATGACTGACATTCAGTTTAGCTGGCCCAGGCTATGACTAACAAACATCCCGGGTTTGCTAATCACAATTGTTCAACCTCTCCATGTAGAGAGGAGGAACCTCCTTCGGGACCCAGCATCTTCCCCTCTTCCAGAAGACACTGTGCTGTCCCTAATTTCCTGCAGCCATGAGAGGGTGCTGGATCAAAGGCTCTGGGTTTCCTGTATCTTCCAGACAGACCAGTAGATCTCTAGGCTTCAGCTCACACCTCTAGCAAAAAGTCTCTTACTCCAGCCCATCACAGTACCAGGCCCTGTACCAAGAAAAAAAAAAAAAACAGGCACCACACCGGGCACGGTGGCGCACGCCTTTAATTCCAGCACTTAGGAGGCAAAAGCAGGTGGATCTCTGAGTTCAAGACCAACCTGGTCTACAGTGAGTTCCAGGAAAGACAGGGCCACACAGAAGAACCCTGTGTTGAAAAACAAAACAAACAAAAGACAAACAAGCAGTAGCTTCTCCAGGGACTGGCCTCCAGGCAGCAGGTTCCACTGTGCCCTCCCAGGAAGAGTGGCACAATCGGGAACACAGGGAAGGGCAGGCTACAGGGGCAACGAGTTCACGTTCCGCTCACAAGGACTTAATGCAGTACAGAGAAGCCTGGTCCAGAAATGAGTGCATAAGTCAGATCAGAAGGGGTGAGCACCAAGCTTTCCCGGGGACACAGCCCTGCCACCCCATCTCCTCGTCCACACCCCCAAACTAGGCAATGCAGATGCTCACTTACTCTAGCCAGTCTGAAAGCCCCCAGGCAACACTGGTTGAGCACCTGCTAGCACTTGCAAGGACCAAACTGTTAGAGCTATCAACACAGCTTTATTCATAGAAACTGGACAGGCAGACCTACCGGGGCTGCATGCCCCGAGGCCTAGTCCCTTGTTTGAACCCTAGGGAAATGTGCAGAATGCCCTCCCCGAAGCCAGAGAGAGACCAGGAGGAATGCCATGTTCAGTGTCATGTGAGGGGAATGAGCAGAAATTTGGGTCTTCCTTCTGAGGCTCCTCCTGGAACTGAGTGCCTCAGGGTAAATGGTCCCAAAGCCAGGTTTAGCTGCACCCCTGTACCCAGGGATAAACTACTCACCCCAGGTTCTGGGTCAAGTTGGGAGTCTTTAAAAGACAGTAACAGGCAGAAGTGGCTCTAAGGGCACCTACGGGATTCTACTCCCAGACCCGCCAGGGCAGAGGCTCTGGCTAAACATAAAGATTCAAGATCATTCCAAAACAAGAAAAACCGAAAAATAGAAAAATTAAGATCACTCCAAGGCCCATGAGTCGCCAAAATCCTCACATGACACTATGTGGTGTGGCCTAGGTGGAAAGGACCAAAAAACCCAACAGAAAAGCCAGAAGCAAAGGCTAGCCCGAGAGGCTGGCATCTGGGTGGGCCCTGGGCAGACTGGGGAAAAGCCCATCGTAGTCTCAGGGCCCTTGCATAGTGACAGACTCACCACCCTCAACATCACAGGGCCCCACACAGGGTTCAGAGAAACTGTTACCCTGTCCCACCCAGGCTGGAGTCTTCCAGAGTGTTCCAGCTACAAGTCCTGGATGTATGGCTTGAGGCTTGACGGAGTCGCGTCGTCGTGCTGAGGCAAAGAAGACTCAGGCCAAAACCCAGAGGCAGAATGCTGATGCTGTCCCAGCGTGTGGAGCGCGGAGGGTGGGCGGTCAGGGAGGGAGTCATCAGAGGTAGACATTGAGGGTCTGCAGAATGCCGCGGCGGCAGAGCGGGCAGTTGCGGTGGTAGACGGGGTGGCGCATGAGGATCTCGGTACAGGCCTGGCACAGGCACAGGTGCCGGCAGGGCAGAAGCAGCACGGTCTTGCTTTGGTCCTGGCAGATGACACACTTCTTTCTCTCCTCTTGCTCCTTCAGCAGCTTCCATGGGTCTTGCCCTGCTGTCGGTTCATCCTCATTGAGTCTCTCTCGGCCTCTAGC